AATGACTGAATGAGACACAAATACAGCATGAAACGGATACACTGGCACGACAATTTCCCCCGAAAAAAATTAGGACATGATACAATAGAGACAACAATAAATAAATACATATTTTTTGTATGTATATATACAAATAATAACTATTTCTTCATTTTTTACATTACAAATATTTATAATTTATTATGTTAAAATAGTAAGAAATCATTTTCCACATACTATATATCGAAAAGAAATTGTGAAAACAAAAAAACACAAAAAATCCATTTTAGAACGCTCTGCTCATTAAATAAAATAAAATGGAAGTTTTGGACTTTAGAATTCCTAAAATTTAAATGTTTAGAGGAAAGATTAATAGGATGTAAACCCCGTATTATTTTATTTGATCATTGGATCACTTCCCAAGTTATTTTTTTCAAACTTACAATTTGTTTCATGTGTCTAACCAATGGACACATGTATCCCCCCAATTGGCTAGAGATGCAGAGCATGTTTGGCTCTTAAAAAAAAAACAAAAATAATATGTTAGGTCACTGAAAATGTGTTTGACACCTGTTGGGGAGCTAGGAAGCATAGATACGGATACGAGATACGGATACGACACGATACGGATACGGCGATATGGCAAAACCTAAAAAAATAGGATACCGGTACGGTTAGGATACGTTTGTGAAAAATATATTTTTTAAAATTATTAATAGTGAGTTTACACATAAACTAAAGAACATTGAGAAATCATAATGTAATTTTATAATGCAAAATATTAACTTTTAAGAATTTTGTATTAATTTAAGGTAGTAGCTTATTTATTTCTTAAATTTTTAATAGGTTTTGCAAATATTTCATTTCAAGATCAAGTTTAATATATTTATATTATAATAATAAAACAATTCACAATTTGTCCCTATGCTTTTTCCTTTGACACTAGTGAAAAATATTGTATTCAAGTTTACTTGCTTATTTATTTATTGTATAGTTGTCAAATCGAGATTCGTATTGTGAATCGAAATGATCTCGTACCGAATCGCGAATCGAATCGAATCGTGAATCGTAAAGATTCAGTCACTTCTTCTAAATTATTTAAAAACATATATTTACACATTTAGATGTTAAATATATCTTATGAATATAAAATATTTAAACTTAAATCAATAAAAATGTTATTTTGAATGATAATCACGTAGTTTAATAAGTAAAAAGTTAACAAACGTTCCAATGTAAGATCACCATCTTACCTTTTTTTCTTTTTTAGATATTTCTTATCAACCATTCTTAATAAAAATAATAACCAAATAGACAAACTATCAATTTCTAAAGTAACAATAATTAACAACGACATTGATATTTGGATAATAAGCATACATACTTTTCTAAGTAACAGTGAGCAAATAATAAAAAAAATCTTTTTTTTTAAAGCCTAAAATATTTTTAAAAGATGTAATATTTAATTTAATAAAATAGCAGTATATAATTCATAGTGTAACTTTAATCTTAAACATCTTTAGAAGATATATTACGATTTTTTAAAGGAAAAAAAATAATAAGAAGAAAGGTTAAAAATATGTTAGGTCTGACTAAATCTAATTGGTTCCTATTAAAAACTTCATGATCACTAAAATAACAACAAAGCATGTATATATGCTGGTTATTTTCGTATTAAACGCTATTAGAAGTTGTATTATGTCATTTTTAATAAAAAGATGGAGGAAAAATAGAGTCGAAAATATGTCGGACACAATAATTTTAAAAATTGTATGAATCGTAAAAAGTGGATCGAATCGTGAATCGATTGTGAATCGTGCGATTCACTAGAGATTCGCTTCCAAAATAGATTCACCCTTAGATTCGTATCGATTTTACAAAAATTGGGAATCGAATCGTGAATCGAATCGCGAATCGTAAGATTCTGATAACAGAGATTTATTGATAATTAATTTTACCATTGTTATATTCTCTTGTTAATTCTTACTTTCTATGTAGTTATAGGGACATGCATGAAATAATTAGGATACATCAGTTTGATAAATTCTATTATTTAACTCACTATACTCTTCTTATCGAAGAACTTAACAAAGTATTAGAAAAATATTTTTATATTTATACTTGCAATTATATTGTATTATATTACTATGCAAGAAATGTTACAATTCTAATTTCTTAAAACAAGTAAACATGACTTGAAGTATCCGATACTTCAAAATTAAGTATCCGATACTCCAAAATTAATAAAAAAATAATTAAGAAGTATCCGATACTTTTAATAAGTATCCGATACATATCCGCGAGTATCCAAGGAGTATCGGTATCCGATACGGATACGATACGGATACATCACCTTATTTGAAGTATCCGTGCTTCATAGCTGGGGAGTGTTTGACAGGCACCTTTGAAGTGTTTGTGCTTTTTAGGTTTCCATTTTTTGTTAACCATATTTGGTTGGCATGTTCCACTGTTAAAACTCCATTGAGTTGTAATTTAGAATGTGCACATGAGGGAGGTTTGGTTTGGTTTTGTTTTGTTTTGTTTTGTTTTTTAAATGTGCACACGAGCTATTTCTGATGCCTGGGTTAGTCTGAGTTAGATTTATTGGGGCAACAAACATCTCACAAATAAATAGAATCCCCACCCCTTCCCTTTGTATAGGACAATAGAGTCAAATTTATGTTATGTGCTCTTTTGTTAAAAAAGGGGGGAAAAATATTGCTAAATTGCAGTGACTATGCTATGATGAGCTGCCAATTGGTTTCACAATTCTTTGACTAATGTTTCATTGGGTTGCCAAGTTGGAAAACAAAGGTGTAAGACGTAGGATGGTGGATGTTCAAGTAACTTAAGGGAAGGCAAGGCAACTTGAGGGGAAAGTAGGGAGCAGTGGCAGTGAAGCAGAGTACAGGCTTAGGAGCACCAAAACAGCTGTAACTTGACCTTGGGCTCAATAGGTCATTGCAGGCCCTGACCGATGAGAGGTCTCCAAGCCCAAAAGGGCTGCAAGGCAGCTGGGCTGTAAATGTACTCAGAAGGCCTCGAGCTTACAAGGGTGCTAATACTTGACTGCCACACATTTGGTGAGTTCCCCTCAGGAAGACCAAAACGTAGGGCACTCACTCTAGTCTAGTGTTGCTCTTGCCTTATTCCCCAAATGAATACCCTCAAGAATCATTCTGGTACTCATTTGGGGACAAGGGCCTGTGCCTTGGCCAATTATTAGGCGAAGCTACTAAATTGCTGGGGCACCGAATCACCTCAGTTTCCTGGGTCCTGACTAGACAAGAGTGATAATGTCAAGGTGCTTTCTCTAAAAAGGAGTCGGAGGGGGCTGCCCTGACCTTTGGAGGGTCATCTGCCTTTTAGCATTGTCCACTTCAGAGCAAGCCCTTGACACTTTAGATGTTGCAGTGTACCCATTGTACCTTGGGTCCTATTTCAAACGCCATGTGTTGATCCCTTATTGGTCCACATGTCATAATTCCATTAGTAACATAGATATTTTCTCCTTGGACTACATGGTCTTTTCTCCTCATATTCGTCCAAGTCGCACAATTTTGTGTTGAAACGTGCCATTTGACTTTATCACCTCAGGCCACAGAAGGCAGTCAATTTGGGTAGTAATTACTTAGTTCTTCCCAAATCAATGATTGCTTGAGTGCATATCCAATTGCATTGCCAGGAAACTGGTTGTAGTTTGTGGGACAAGCCTGATGATGCACCTGGTGACTCTTCTTTTTTTCTAAGAACTGTGATAATCAGAAACTCTTGGTCCTATCTCATTACTGTGTCAATTGCTTGTTGCATAAATCATCTCACAAATATAAACTCTTTTGCAACTCATTTGTATAATCTTCTCTTTTGTTGTTCCAATTTGTTCAATGCCCGCTAATACCAGGAAAGATGAGGCCATTACTTGCTTACATTACTGTGTACTGTATTCTGGGATTGCATTGTTTGTGCTGTGTTCATTTTGTTGTTAGGCTATGAAGCACGGGTACTTCAAAAATAGTGCCGTACGAGTACCGGGTACTTACCGGGTGCGGGTATGCGTACCGGTACGGTGGTACACATACTGGGTATGCCGAATGCATGCCGGGTACAGTTAATACATTTGGGTATGGCCTGGGTATGCCGTGGGTACTGGGTACGTTGTGGGTATGGCAAGAGTACGATGAGGGGATTTTTTTTTTTTTGTAGCTGCTAAAATTTGTTGCAGCTTTTATTATTCTTCTTTCAATTTCGAAAATCATCAAATAATGTTTCCAACACTTTTTACCCATGAGTCATGTTTTGCTCTCTTTTGCGTCATGTTTTAAACAATCAAAAAAGAAAAAAAAAGAATTATATAACTTTTTAGACAAGCTATTCTCATTTTAGTTTTGATTTTGAAATTCTGATTTGTATGTTGGATATTTAGCTATAAATTTTAAAAAAACAAATAATAAATAATAATAATAAATTGACGTACCTCAACCGTACACGTATTACTTTTTAAAGAATTTGCCGTATCGGCGTACTTGTACCCATACCCGTGTCCATACTCGCATCCGTGCTTCCTAGTTGTCAGGTCATTCAGATGCATAGGTCAATTTTCTAATATGATGTCAAGAGCATGAATGGATGATTTGTAAAACAACATTTTCGAGATTCCAATTTTGGGTAATGGTGATTATGTAGGGTTCTGGCTAGCATATCAACATAAGAAGTTTTTTATATTTTTATTTTTATTTTTATTTTTTTCCCATCTTTTTCTTTTACCTTCTTGGTTGCAAAAGGGTATAAAAAGTCCCTAGCTCATTTGAGTATGACATCTATGCAAGCAAGCAACTCCACATTGCATTTTAGATTTGCCTTTATTTTTGGGGGGAAAAATCAAAAAACTCGACTGCTTGGATAGATTTATTTTAGGAGTAAAACGAAGTTCACATGTCCCATTATGTGAAAATATTGTGTGTTCCTAACACATCTGTTATTTTAGAGGTTGCCTTATGCGTTATGGTCGGATTTTTGTGCAGGTTTCTTGCAGAGACTGGCCTGGTTTCTGTTGAACATCAAATGCAGGAAATGGGCTTGAGCCCAAAAGAGTCCGAGATGATCAATAAAAAGAGCCGTTGAAGGTTTTTAAAAACCAATACAACAATACAGGTGAATACGTCAAGAATTCTCGAAGGAAGACCTCTAAGAGGCCAACTTATAACCATTCATTATGAGATGACAGTTACATTTTGCGATGCACTTGACCAAGAAGAGAAGAAGAAAGATTAGAAAACTGTTTTTTCTCTAGAGCCTCTTCGCTGGAGCAGTTGCATCGTTCAATCACTCTTTTGCTTTCCTTCCTTCTCCTTTGGTTTGTCCTGTTTGTCCTTTTTGGGCTTGATGAAGCAGAAACACGAGCAGCACGGGCACTGAAACAACAACTTCATCTCTTCAGGGATTGTTTCCCAAATGATGTTTATTAAAGTTCCAAATAACATACTATATATAGAGAGGTGAAGCATATATTTTGCCTCAAAAACATTTATTTATTTGTGGATTCCATTCCTATCCCTTACAAAAAGAAGATGCTTAACTTTATTCTTATGATTGATGCCGCTGACTCTCTTATCCTTTATTTGTTCTGGGCATATTGGTTTTGTGCATTAGAAAATGGATTTCCTAGTGCTTTGATTTCCTCCAAAGAAAGTTTACTAGGCTGGGATCCTTTGAGGGAGTTCAATTCAATACCTTGACTTAATATTTTTTTTTTAATATACATGTATTATATATTAGTTTTGATTTGTTTTTTTGTCACCTCTAAAAATATTTTGAACACCTTATTAAAGTTGCCTGGGCCCAAGGCTCATCAAGGTGCAGTCGGTGTGCCTCGGTTATTATTATTTTTTTGCACAAAAAATAGAAAACAAGTTTTCATTTATTTTATTTTTTGTAAAATAGAAAAATAAAAATTTGTTTGGTGTATAAAAATATTTTGAAAACAAAAGCAAAATAAATGTGCTTAGTAAGTTGTTGGAGGTGGTAGTATGTGGTGGAAGTTGAATTGATGTGGTGGCCGGTGATGGAGGCAGTCGGGAGGTAGGTGATGGAGTTGGTGGTTGGAGTGCCTTCAAGGTCATGGGAGGTGGCTGGAGTGTCATCGGAAGGTCATGCGGAAGAAGAAAATAAAAATTTATTTTAAAAATAAATAAAAAAGCACATTTTAAAAAAAAAAAGTTTGGAATTGATTTATTTTTTTTAAATAAAAAATATATGTATAATGAACAAATTTTCATTTTCAATTTTCAAAGAAGTGGTGGTGTCGGAAGTGGAGAAGGGGTTCAGGGTGGTGTTGGAAGGTGGGCGTAGTAGGAGGGGTTTGCGAAGAGCAGCGATTAACGTTTTGTCTCTTTCGATTAATGGGTTATGAGTAAAATGATATTATTTTTTTTAAAGACGTGTCTAAACAAATTTTTTAAAGTGCATTTTGAGACAATTTGATAACAAATTTCTATCTTCACACAACACACACACACACATATATATTTATTGTACGGTAGTACTACACGCACCAATTGATATATCAATTAGTGTACCAACAAATGTTATGATATTATCATTTCAAAATTATAATTTCAATCATTATACAAATTAGAAAGACCTATAACAATTAAAATTATACCACATTATCTGTTAATACACTAATTAATATACCAATTAATACATATGGCATTATTCCTAACAATAAGATGTGTTTGGCTTCTCTCATGTTGGAGATCCAACTTCATAGAGTATTTGAGTTTAGTGAGCCCATTGTGAGTCACATCTTTATGATTAAAACCGTTCACTTTTTAGAATTCATTAAGAAGAATATTCATGTAAAAAATTAAGATAATTAAATTTCAGTAGCTATATCTTTGAATCATATTTGTCTTAAAAAAAATGGACGACAAGAATAAATATCCATTTTTTTAAATATATAGTTACTGAAATTCAATTCTCTTAATTTTTTATATAAATATTCTTCCCAATAAATACTAAAAAATAGACTATTTAAATCACGGGGAATGGACTTACAATAACCCCCACTAAGCCTAAATGTTCTATTAGGTTGGATTTCCAATATGAAAGAACTCCAATCCCAATATGGAAGGGATACAAACACACCATCTATTATTTATTTTTAAATTGCATCAGCAAGTTTATATGTATTAATGATTTTCCTGTGTTTTCGTTTGACTACTATGATTGTTATGCTTTAAAAATAAGAACTTCATTGGCCAAAAATAATATAAAATAAAAAAACATTTTAAATTTATATGATTGCACTGTTTTGGATTTTTTTTTTGGGTTGAGGAAGAGGAATAGAAGAAAGAATCTCAACCTTGGAATTCGAAAACATGTTTGATTGTGAGATTATATTGAGTAAAATGTTAACAGCCATCATTGACTTTTTTAGAATTATTTAGGCTATTAAGTACATATGTTGAATAATTTAGAAGATTCCGGAAAGATCTAAAAAACTCTAGAAATATCTAAAGAAATTCAGAAGATTCTAGAATATTATAGAAGATTCTGAAACATTAGAGAAGCCTCTAGAAATCTAGAGAAATCTAGAAGGTTCTGGAAGGTTCTAAAATATTTAGAAGTATAGAAAGTAATATTATATACTAGAATAGTTTAGAGAGTTTTAGAATATTGGAAAGCATGAGTATATGCTAGAATATTCTAGGGTTAATAATAGCCCTTGGATCAAAATGATCCTAGCTATCCATTGAGGAGGTGGATGACTATATAAAGAGAAGTGACATAATTTGGAAGACACAAGATACAACAATCAAGAGTGGTGTCAAGTGCTTGAGTATGAGTGATTCCAAAAGTGAGGTATCATTGAGAGTTTTCTTGTGTACTTAAGTGTATCTTTGCATCAAAATAAAGATTCATTTTTGTATAGCCGTTGTGTTCTAACTCAACAATTTGGTGTCAGAGCAAGGCAGTCAAGGACCATTTTCTTGAGTTGATCATGTACAACTTAAGACTGTGAAGCTTGTGGATTAGTGACCACACTTACTTGATGAAAGTGCAGGAGGATCACGCCAACTCACGATGATAGTAGATCTTATGAACACAACAAGTGGAGTCACAAGACTTAACAACAACAACTACCGGAGTTGGCAGAGTCGCATCAAGTCCTACCTTGAAGGGTAGGATTTGTGAGAGGTTGTTAATGAAAATGAGGCTGCACCACCTTCCACGAAAAATGCCGAGGCACTCCGCAAATGGAAGATCAAGACCGGAAAGGCAATGTATGTGCTCAAGATAACCATAGAGGATGAGTTGCTCGGGTGCATCAGGAATGATGACACACCCAAGGCAACATGGGGCACCTTTGCATCATTGTTTTCAAAAACAAATGATACCCGACTCCAATTTCTAGAAAAATGAGTTGATGTCTACCACTTAAGAAAGTAAGTCCATAAGTGAATATTTCACAAAAATTAAGGATCTATGTCATGAAACTTTAGATCTATATCCTAAAGCAAATATTAATGAGGAAAGAATAAAGAGGATCATTATACATGGGTTAAGTCTCGAGTATAATGCATTCATCACAACTATAAGGGGTTGGCCAATTCAACCATCTCTTATAGAGTTGGAGAATTTATTGGCCAATTAAGAAAGCCTATGCAAGCACATAGCTAGGGTATCATTGAAGACTAAAGAGGAGGCACTCTTCAGTAATAATAATAGAAGGGGTGGACCAAGACGGCCTAACTTTACAAGGCCAAAGAAAAATGAAAAACATGCCAAATCACAGCAATAGGATGTGAGCTCTCAAACAGGGGGAGCTCAATTTGGCAACAACAACCATGATCGACGATCCTTAGCACCCTAGCGGCGTAACATAGAGTGCTATAAATGTGGAAAGAGAGGTCACTACGCAAAAGATTGTCGTTCAAAGAGAAGGCAAGAAAAAGGTAGCTTGGTGACATCCAAAAGTCACCAAGACAACAGTGTGATAACCCTCACTCCTGTTTACTGATAACACCACTGATTAGTGCTAATCTATGATTAATCATGTTAACTGACTGATTGATTGAAAATCTGAACCGATTGATTGAGTGTGTTAGTTAAATGCATTTCTATCTGTTTGACTGCTAAATGATCTGTTCGTGTTTTAAGTTTCAAACTACAAATTGAAAGCCTTATTAGCGGCCGAATCTGAAATCGATTAGTGTTTTATGCTAATTGGAATTTATGTACTTTTATGATATATTTAGTTGAAATATGATTTGGTATGTTTAAATTGGATTAAATAATGCTAATTTACAAGAGTTGGACTTATTTATGAGAATGCCACTTAGTGGACTTTCATCAGCCTTTATTTGATCTCTATATGCTAGCATTTCAACACTTTATCAGCCCATTTCTTGAGCTAGCCGACTAGAGAGAGAGAGATAGGAGAAATTGAGTTCATTTAGGCATTTAGCTTGAAGATTTGAAGAATTTGGAAGAGAATTATATATTTGAGCTTGTTTACCTTGAATTCAAGACATAAGGTAGAAATTTCATCCTTTCATTTGTGAATTGAAGTTGTGTCTTGCATGATTCATGGGAGTTTAGTGATCTAAGTCAAGTTTTGGTCTAAAAATGTTGAATTGAAGCTTGAATCATGCATGTATGTGCATCTCTTAAAGTATAGAGTTGTTTTCATGGAAATTATTGCATGCATGTCCATATCTTGAGTATAGTTCATGAATTCATCATGTTCTTGAGGAAATTGACTCTTTTGAACAAGTATTTAAAGCTTTAAAGTTGTTTAAATTCTTGCATGTTGCATACATTTCATGTTCTTGAAGTTTTGTTTGAAAATTATGTTTAATTGAACTACCTTTGGGCTTTGATTTCTCAAATTGATCTTTCAAACATATCATACTATGAATTTACAAGTGTTTTCCAAAAAATTGGCCCAAAAGTATCGAATTTGATGATTTAAAATTGAGTTTTGAGCTTAAGGTTCAAATATGGAATTTTCAGATTTTGGACCCACGCTCGAGCGAGGAACTCCACGCTTGAGCGTACACTCTGAATACATGAAGTCCGCACGAGCGAGGAAAGTGGCGCTTGAGCGTGAAATTCGTGTATCCAGTACTTTGCATGCGTTTACAGTCCGCTCGAGCGAGAGAGTTCACGCTCAAGCGAGGACTTCTGTCTCACGCTCGAGCGTGGATCGAGCGCCCGTCGAGCGTGATTTTTGTGCATCTAGTATTTTTACTATAACTTACAGTCCGCTCGAGCGACGAAAGTCATGCTCGAGCGAAGCTCCTTTTTCTGCATGTCCGTTCGAGCGTAGAAAGCCACGCTCGAGCAAGACCCCTGTTTTCTGAAAATTCTGAAAAGTGTTTTAAAGTGCATCTTTGCATCCTTATTCCATCATAGGCATTCCTAGGCCTAGTTTAAGGCATCTTAATGAGGATATTGATGTAGAATCACATCGAGGCAAATTAGGGATTAAGTTATTATTTCCCAACTGTGTAGCTTAGCTGTGACTATGTAGGGTTGGCATCCGAGGACGCTCTAGCTGCTTATAGCCCAGTGCTCTGTAA